TGTCAGGCAGAAGGGGCGGGACCTCCACCTGGCAGGTTATCAGGTAGGAGGGGGCAGGCAGGATGCGAAGGCCGGGCTGCCCTGAAACATCATCGGGATGACTTTGAGATGCAGCATATGCTGGACATAGATGTCTTCTCTTTAGGCCTGTCATACACACATAAGCTCCCACTGAACACTTCCTACCTAATACAACCACAGTGTCTGTCAGCTTCAACACCACGTGGCTCCCTCCCCAGAGCTCCTGTCCATTGCTGGCCTGGGTAGCTCCTGTCATCTCTGGATGCCACAGGGCCGGGTCTGGGTGGGTTCACAGTGCATCTGCAGCTGCTGAACAGGGGGATCAGACCGAGTGGCGCAGTCACGGGGCAGCCCTGGGAGATCACCGTGCCATCCACATGCAGGGGAGGTGAGGGAGAGAATGGGGGTTCTGTGATCCCCGCTTTAATGCCTTCCAGCCATGGAGAGACGTGGGACTCTGCACAGCACCGCCCCCCATCTGGAAAAGGGAGCACGGACTCCATCTCCTTTCTGAGCTACAGAACCTCGAGGACCACAGCCCTCTCCCTGCAGGTGCAGGAGGGAGGGTGGGGACAGGAAAGCAGGTTTTCTGTGCTCCCTAGAAGTGATGGGAAACAAAGCCCAGCCTGTCTGCCCTTTCTTGTGCCTCCGGGGCCTGAGTACTCACCTTGGGGGAGATGAAAGGGCTGGATTTCAGAGACAGCATTGGGGACTGAGGCTGGCCGCTCTGGCTCCAGGGGTCGACACCTGGGGCTGGGTTTCCTCTCCTGTCCTGTGACACAGGGACCAGATCTTCCCCAAGCTGCCCCAACACAAACCCTCTCCAAACACCGACCACAGAACTCAAGTCAACCCCTGGTGCCGTGAGGACGAGGCCAAAATCCCCACGGTGTCTCCCGGGGTGGGGTCACCTCTGGCTTTTGCGCAAGTTTCTGATTTTTTATTTTTAAATTCTGAAATTGTGAGAGGCAGAGAGCGAGCGAGCAAGCCAGATCCATCCATTGGGTCACTCCCCGAATGCTCTGATGGCTGGGGTGAACCAGGTCCAATGCCAGGGGCCATGAGCTCTATCCATGACCCCACCCGGGAGGCAGGAACCCAGCTGCCCAGCCAGAGACCATGGCCCCAGGACCTGCCTGAGCAAGGAGCTGGAGCCCAGTCACAGCAACAGACGTGAGCTGAGTTTGTGAGGGGGCAAGAAGCCATTTTCGTTGCATCCTTGCCCGAGTCCAGGTGCCCTCTGCTTCATTCCTACGCTGCTCTGCACACCCCTGCTGTGGACAGGGTTCTGCACAGCCAGCTGAGAGCCTCTGCCAAGGACACAGTGGGGCTGAGAGGCACCTACCTGTGACCATGAGCTCCAGGGCACCACTGGGGGCCGCCACACCTGGGGGCTGCTATGGTGGCTGTTGCTGTGGATTGGTTCTGAGAGGAGGAGCATGGTGGGAGCAAGAGGCACAGAGTCACCACACAGACCCCAGGAGTCGGATGAAAGCAGACCAGAGGCGAGCAGCCTGCAGACTCCTTTATTTCAGTTGGTACAGTAGCTTATATAGCCAAGGCAGCCAATCCAGTCAATGGGCAGTTTATGCCCTAACCAATCACATCCTGTTGCCAGGCTTACTCCATTTCCAGGTGGCTTCCAAGGGGGCTTCCGAAGCCATTCCTGAGTAACTGAGGCTCACTTGCGTGTGGCCATCTTGGTATGGCCTTCTCATTCCACTACAGGTGGTGACCGCAGAGATGCGGGGGTTTCCCAGACCAGAGCCAAGGTTCCCTGGAACCCCTTGCATCAGCGCTGTGTCAGGAAGCCATTTCACCCCGGGCTCACTGGATCTTTATCAAGAGGATGCTGGAGGAGGAAGAACATGGCAGGGAAATGTTCTGTCCTGACATAACCCCAGACCCTGATCCACAACAGGCAGGGCTTCTCACAGGAAGAGGAGAGGTCGACAAACTTTCTCCTTTTAAAGAAATCATTGCTTTGATATTCAAAAGTTGTATTTCTGTATAATTGTCATGTAAACATCAAACACACAAGCACACAACACAGATACGCACACAAACGTGGAAGAGCTAACCCAAGCTAGATAACGTGTGCATTACCTCACAGACTTATTGTGTGGTAGGAGCATCTGACACAGTTTTAAGCATTTTCAGCTGCCCATGCCGTGAGCGTTATTAACTACAGTCGCCATGACACACACTACACCTCTAGACCTCTTCTCCCACGTGATTCTGTAGCTCTGCACTCTGACCTGCGGATCCCAGCACCCACGCCTTCCCCTGGTGACCACCATGCTGCTCCCCGAGTGCCTCACAGCCCACCTCTGAGTGACTTCCCGTGTGGGTTCTCCTCTGTGCCTGGCTTGTTTCACTTCCACAGTGTCCGCAGTGCCTCGGTTTTTTGAAAACACCCGTGTTTCACTCGTTTCATGGCCGAGTCTTATTCCACTGTGGGATGCCTTGCTTCTGGCCCCATTCACCTCGGTTGATGATGACAGTGATGTGGCAAGGCACTGACAGGCATCTGTCCTTTCCTTAGCCCTGCATCTGGTTGAGTGGAAGTCCCCCTCCCAGAAACAGGAGCTGGCAAAGCGTGCATGCAGTGGGGCTCACAGCAGAGCCGAAGAAATGCAACGACCCCCTCTGGCCTCCACAGCCCTGCACAGCCCCAGGGCTCTGTGGGCTTCCAGCCCTGGGTGTTTCTGGGAAGGGTGCTATGCAAGGCCCATTGTGTGTGGCTGTGCCCCTAAGCCCCACACATCCTCACTTCACAGCTTCCTGGGGCTCATCAGAGTTCCTACAGAGACAAAGACCCAGCTCCCTGAGCCCCGCATCATCGGTGCACATCTGGCTCCTGTCCCTGGCCGGCTGTGCTTGGACGGATGCCTGTGTGCACAGTCCCTGGATGGTTGTCAGAGCCTCCCCCTGGCCCTCGGTGGTGAGAACACTCCTCAGAGCCTGCACTCAGCACACTGGTGAGCGCTGCGCCTGACCCTGACCCTTGCCAGGATGTGGGTCAACGGGAGCGCCTGACTCCGTGCAGGGGGTGGGCTGCTCTGTGCTGTGCCGAGGCTGGGTCTGGTGCTTTGAGGAACTACGAGCCTCTTGCCACAGTGGCTGAACCCTGCACATTCCAGCCGCCTCTCAGGGCTGCGATTTCCCCACACCCTGACCACACTGCCTACTGTGTCTTCGAGAAGTCACCAGTGAGGTGGCATGGGGGGTGCCTCTCTCTGGCATTATTTGCACTTCCCTTCCCTTGTGGTGAGTGAGTTGCACCCTTGCTTTTCCTACTGTGTTTTCCAGATCTGCATCCAATGTGTTCGTTGTCTTCCTGTTCCCTTCATAGCTGTCCACGGTGCACAGAGTTCTGAAGTTTTGAGGATGATCAATGCAGCCATTTTCCTGTTTGTTCCTCATACTTTCAGAATCACAGCTAAGACGCTGTGATGAAGTCTGAGGTCATATTTACCCAGGTATTTCCTTCTAGGAGTGTTTAAAAAATTTTTTGTAAACTCTGATTTATTTATTCGAGAGGTAGAGACATAGAGAGGAGAGACAGCAACAGATTTGCCACCTTCTGGCTCACTCCCCAGATGGCTGGGCCAGGCTGAAGCCAGGAGCTTCTTTTGGGTCTCCCACGTGGGTGCAGGGCCCCAAGCATTTGGGCCATCCTCTGCTGCTTTCCCAGGGCATTAGCAGGGAGCTGGATCAGAAGTGGGGCAACCGAGATTGGAACTGGTGGTCATATGGGATGCCGGCGCTGCAGGTGTTGGCTTTACTCCCTCAGCTACGCTGTGGTGGGGTGGGGTCCCAGCCCATAACTGGAAACACTGGTGCAGAATCCACAGTGCTCTCTCAATCCCACCTCCCTGAACTCTGTGGGAAACGCAGACTTGCACCACACGGACAAGCAGAGTAATCAGCCACCAGAGGAAGCCGGGCAGGCATCCGCACTCTTCCAGAACACTGGGTGCTGCCGTCTGCCAGAGCCGCCGTGTTGTGGGGTTTATGTTAGTTGTGCATTGAGAAATCCAGATGACCTTGAACTTCTCGTGCCTGAAGAAACCCTGCACACACTTTCAGTCTTTCACTTCTGTGTGGTCCTCTCAGAGGGCGGAGTCCCACGTTCATCTCAGATTTTACCTTAGAGTTTGATGAGCCACAAGTTTTTTAAAATATTTATTTGAAAGTCACAGTTACAGAGAGAAGGAGCGAGAGAGATATCCATCTGCTGGTTCAGTCCCAATGGGCCCTCACAGCCGGAGCTTGGCTGATCCCCAGCCAGGAGCCAGGTGCTTCTTCTAGTCCCCCAGATGGATGCAGGGGCCTAAGCACCTGGGCCATCTTCTGCTGCTTTCCCAGGCCATAGCAGAGAGCTGGATCGGAAGTGGAGCAGCCAGGAATCGAACTGGTACCCACAGGGGATGCCGGCACCTCAGGCGGCAACTTTTATGCATAATGACACAGTGCTGTCCCTGATCCATTAACTGTGACCTCCCACATCTGAGCCCATGTGTCATCACCTCCTCTGGTGAGTGCAATTTTGAATCCATCTTGAGTGACTGTAGTCCCGCCCATGTCCTGGCACAATTGCTAAAGGTCAAGGGGAACAAATCCTGGTGTCACCGCCCTCTAGGTGGGCTCCTATGGACACTCAGGGCCACTGAGCTGTGTGTGGTCCCTGGAGAGGAACAGCACAGAACCGCACGGGAGGCTGCAGGGTAGTGGGTAGGGCTGCGGGAGGCCAGGACCCCTTCCCAGAATGCGTGTGGGAGCCCGGGGAAGCAGCACCGCCAGCGGCCCACCCGGGTTCCTGCCCCTGAGCAGGATTCCTGCAACCTCAGGTGAGCTCTGCCCGCTTTACGAAGGCTTCTCACCGAGCATGCCCGGCCTCCCTCATCCCCCTGCCCCCAGGGAGCAGCCTCTCTGACCTCTGTTGTTCTGTGGCCCAGGTCCTTCTCTGGCTGTACCAAGCCTCCACCAGCAGAAGCCTGAGGCCCAGCAGGACCAAGCCCGCCACGCCCATGTGGATGAGGTTCTCCAGGGTGTGGTCCTGGGTGCTGGGGCTGGGGGCATGCGTAGAGGGGTCACCGACGTGGGCCAGCCCAAGTTACCCAGGATCCCATCTCTCCACAGCTGCCTGAGCATTGGTTTTGGCCTGTAGCTCACTCACCAGCGGGGGAGCCTGGCTGGGGGTGTGAGGGGCTGCTGGGCTCCGGTCCTCCTGAGAACAGGGACAGGACGTGAGGAGGAAGAGACCCCAGCCCTGCCCAGGACTCTGTACTTCCAGGCCCCCATGTCTCACGACGCAGCTCAGCGTGGCCCTCTGATGAACCGCCTCCACGTCACCCTGTCGGGCTGCCCTGTGCTGCTGGGTACCAGGGGAGCCCCATAGGGGCCGGGCCACGCAGCACCCACAGCCTGGCAAGCTTCTCCCTACAGCAGCAGGTCCGGGGCCCATACTGCACCATGTTCTGTGCTGCTGCGCCTGAGCAGTCTCTGTCCTGGTCTAGAGGTCCACAGCTCCTGGGGTGTGAGGCCCGTCATGGGTGGGTCCTGTCCAGTGCTGCATCTACTTTGGCCCCTGTGAGAGCCTGGCCCGGGACTGCAGGCCAGGGGGCTGGGCAGACCCCGAGTCCCTGTGTGACCCTGTCAGACCCTTTGGGTCAGGAGGGAAGAGGGGCGGGCCTGCACACTGGCTCCGCCCACACCCTTCTCCCTCCTGCCCTGCAGTCCCACCGCCCTCACTCTGGGTGTCTGGCCCAGGAGCCCAGGCCCTGCACCCAATTCCCATCTACGCCTCCTCTCAGCGTCCCCGTGACCTACCCAGCTCCTGCTCAGGTGTGGCTTCCTCACTGTCACCCCAGCTCCAGGGCGGCACTGGGCTCTGAGCAGCCAGCAGCGCTGAGGCAGACACAGCGGTAGCGCCCTGCGTACACCTCGGCCATGAGAGGGTGGGGAACTTGGCCTTGTTTCCGGGCTCCAGGGGCATCGCTCTGTCCCAGGGCTCTGGGATTCCCTCTCTATACAGATGGCACTCCTAGGCCTCCAGGGTCCCCAACACCACAGGGCCCCAGGCCTGCCCAGGGCGATCACAGAGCCTGGCTCAGCCCGGAGGCTGGGTCTGGGGAGGGTCCCTGGAAGGACACCAGAGGCTGGGTCCCAGGACCCTCCCAGACGCCCTCCTCACCAGACAGGGCTGCTGCCCCACTCCAGCTGCCCGGGGTGGCCCTTGTCCCATGGCGGGGGGGGGACCCGGCACAGTGGGGGGCACGCTCACCTGCCTGCACTCGGGTCCTGGGGCCGCACAGCCCTGGAGGAGAGCTCCCCGTGAGAGGGTTTCCCCTGCCCCTGCGCAGGTCCTCTCCTCCCCGGGGCGCCTGAGCCTGGGGTCTCCAGGGAGCAGGGCCTGGCTGTGAGGGGGGCGGGGTTCCTCCCAGAGCAGGGTCTCCCCTCCCCATCTTCCCGTCTCCCCAGGCAGAGCAGGACCACGAGGGCGGGGGTCATGGCGTCCTCTCCGCCGGCCCCGGCACAGCGCCCGCGGAACGGACATACACCGGGTGTGGACGCTCGGAGGCCGGGTCCTCCCAGCATCGCAGGGCTGTTCCGCCCGCAGCCCCACAGGAAGGGGCACCACCCCCACCCAGCCAGGCCCTCAGTCCCCAGGATGGGGGCACAGGCGCCCTGCAGGGATGGGGCCCCGCCCCGCCCTGTCAGCCGGCTCCGCCCTCCTCTCCCAGGGCCAGGACCCAGCACCAAGGACACGGGCCTCCCGGAGCCGCCCCTCAGGTGGGCTGATGCGCCCCGGGGTGGGGTCGTCCCCGCCCTCAGCCCCTCCTGTGGGGTCGCAGCCCGGCCACTTCCGGAGGACGCAGGTGGGCACAGACCCGCTCCCGCCCGGCCCGGAGGTCCCGGGGCCCGACCCAGGGCGGGGGAGGCCCGGACGCCCCCTCCGCCGCGGACGCCGCTCCCACGCCCCTCAGCCACAGCTTCCCCTGACCCGACCACCCCGCTGCGGGGCCCTGAGGCCTCCCAGGACCTGCGCCGCCCCCTCCCTGCCGCCTGCCCTGACTCCCGGGGGAGGCGCCCTCACTGCGTCCCCTCACACACCCCTCTGCCCTGAGCCTCAGCTTCCCCGTGTGGGCGGACACGGACTCACCTGAGGCGGCCTCGCGCACACGCACACCGACTCTGGACTGCGCAGGTGCACGTCAACAAGGGATTGCGCAGGCGCACACCGCCACTGGCCTTGTGGACACAGCCCAACACGTGACTGTACATATGCACAGGACAGGACTGCGCATGCGCATGATGACACGCTACTGCGCATACGACGACAAGTGACTGCGCAGGCGCACGCCGACATGCTGCGCTCACACGTCACTGAGGGGAGTGCGCGGTGCTTTGCCACTGTCTCCTTAATCAAGAGTGCGGGAAACGTGAACCCTGACTGCTGCTCTGCGCGGCCCTGCAAGCCCTCGCCAGAGCAGGTGGGCGAGAAGAAGCCGCAGAAGCGTCCGAATTGGGAAGGAAGAAGCCATGTCGTTTCTCTTGGCTGATGACGCCATCTTACCTAAGACTACCTCTCTTTGCTGATGACGTCATCCTACCTAAAGACAACCCAACGTCTCAACCAGAAACTGCCCTCACTGGTCACCGTCAGGTCGCAGGATCGCGGTCCACACACGAACTCCCGTCAGCGCTCCAAGGGAGATCCACACAGCTCCACTTAGCAGAGCCCAGACCTCCAGCAGCCTGGAGTGAATTCCTCTGCTGCAGGAGGTGAATGCAGGGACCCCGTGTGGGTTCACAGCGCATCTGCGGCTCGGGAACAGGGGGATCAGTCCGAGGGGCGCACTCGGGGGGCGGCCCTGGGAGGTCACCGTGCTGTCCACATGCAGGGGATTAGAGGAAGGGAACTCAACCATGCTCCAGCGTGTGCACCGCTCGTGGCTGCTGTGCTGTGCCCAAGCCCACCTGGCTCAGCTGACCTCCTGTCCCCAGGGATACTGACTGGGGGAGGGCAGAGGATGTGAGCTGAATGTGGTGGGGGGGGGGCGAGAAGCCATTCTCGTCGCATCCTTGCCCGAGTTGTGGTGCCCTGTACTGCTTTCCCACACTCCTCTTCACACCCCTGCTGTGGACAGGGCCCTGGACAGCCAGCCGCGAGCCTCTGCCAAGGACACAGCGGGTCTGAGAGACACCTACCTGTGACCACGCGCTCCAGGGCACCACTGGGGGCCGCCACACCTGGGGGCTGCCACGGTGGCAACTACAGAGATACGGGGGTTCTAGGACCAGAGCCAAGGTTCCCCGGCACCCTGGTGTCAGCGCTGTGGCAGGGAGCCATTTCCCTCTGGGCTCACTGGAACTTATCCAAGAGGACGCTGGAGAGGAAATCACAGGAAAATGTTCTGTCCTGGCCTCACCCCAGACCCTGTTCCACGGCCAGGCAGGGCTTGTCACAGGAGCCTGAGAGAAGGGGTGAGGGCAGCACACTTTCTCCTTTTGAAGAATAGTTACTTTGAAGCCAAAGGTTGTATTTGTGTCTATTTGTCACGTAAACATAAAACACGCGCACACACACACACAGAGTGGAAGAGCTAACCCAAGCTAGATAACGTGTGCATTACCTCACAGACTTATTGTGTGGTGGGAGCATCTGACACAGTTTTAAGCAATTTCAGCTGCCCATGCAGTGAGTGTTATTAACTACAGTCGCCATGACGCACACTACACCTCTAGACCTCTTCTCCCACGTGATTCTGTAGCTCTGCTCTCTGACCTGCGGATCCCACGCCCTCCCCTGGTGACCACCATGGTGCTCCCCGAGTCCCTCACAGCCCACACCTGAGTGACTTCCCGCGTGGGTTTTCCTCTGTGCCTGGCTTGTCTCACTCCCACAGTGTCCGCAGTGCCTCGGTTTGCTGCAAACGTCCGGATTTCACTCGTTCCATGGCCGAGTCTAATTCCACTGCGTGGACGCCTTGCTTCGGGCCCCATTCGCCTCGGTTGATCGATGACAGCGATGTGAGCTGCGCCGCAGGAACGCGGGCGTGCAGGTGTCTAAGTGTCTCCTCCCCGTTAGCTCCTCCCCTGTGCCCGACCTGCGCTAGGAGAAGGGAGCGGTGGGGGTCTGGGCCCCAGGATCCCCTCTCTGTCCCACACTGTTGTGGACAGGTGAGCCAAGGAGCCGCCCACGCGCTCAGGGAGTTGGCACCGTCGAGAAGTAAACCAGGAAGCGGGCGTGGTACTAAGGGCTCCAGGGGCCAGGTGGGGCTGAAGGGGGAGGTGCTGTGTAGAGAGAATGTTCATGGACCGGAAATGCCAGACGCACACTTCCGGAAACCCGGGATCCTCGGGCGTGCATATAAAGACCCCAGTCCCCTCTGCCGGATAGCTGCAGTATCAGACACGCTCTTCCGGAGACCCCCCTGCACACTATCTTTAGGAACCACAAAAGTTCTCTTCCGGAAACCCGGGAATCTCGGGTGCTCTCTGGAGACCCCCACACACCAACTTCATGAAATTAAGAGACCCTGCACTTCTCTTCCGGAAACCACAGACGTGCTCCTCCGGAAAGCAGGGGCCTAGACGCCCCCTCCAGATACAGCAGGTTGGGCCGCCCTGGGGGTAGAGCTAGAGTGAAGGCTGGGCCGGAGCAGGTGCGTTGCGCTCCACTTCTCAGGCGTGGGTTGACGTAGACTTCCTTCCACACAGAATGTGCAGGGAGGAACGGTGACGCTCCCTTGGGAACCAAGTGCCCCAGATCCGCAGCAGCAGCCAGGCTCCTGGATCCTCTGGATCCCTGCTGGGCTGTGCTGGGGACAGCTCTTTTCTCCCATCTTCTGCGTAGTGACCCATCACCCAGTCCTGTCACACAGCTTCCCAGGGCAGGGCTTCCTTGAAGGTCTTGCACATGTTCTTGAAAATTGTCATCAAGGTCAACGCCAACAAGGGAATTGAATGGCCTAAAGAGACAGAGAGAACCAGAGGCAGTGTGAGATCCTGCAGAAGATAAAGGATTAGGTTCCAACACAGGAAATCTAAATAAACCATGGACTAGTTGAGCTAAGGGTGCTGGGAAGAAATGTGCCATATTAACCTACAATGCTAACAGGGAGCTGGGTGAAGGGTCTATAGCAACTCCATGTGGTAACTTCTCATTTGTTCCCTAAAACCATTCTCGAAGTCTATTAAAAATCAGGTAAAATTCCCACATGAGGGCTGAAGACCCTGGATGTCTCCTCACCCAGCACCACCAACTCTAGGGCAACACTGGGGGCTGCCCAGGTGACCCTCCCTCTGTCGATACTGGTAACACCCTGGGGTGTTGTATCCGTGGGAGTCCTCCCTCTGTCGCACTGGTAACACCCTGCAGTGCTGTATCCATGGTAGTCCTGATGAATCAGCCTCCTTCTGCAACCCCAGTTCCTTCTCCACCACCTCGTGTGTGGCTTCCCAGGATCTCCAGTTGGGACAAGGAAGATACAGGGGTTTCCTGGCATGGGATCTTCACAAACACACTCGAGGGAATCACAGAACCTAGTGTGGCAGATATGATAGGACTGGCAATATCCCTTGGAAAAAATGCAGACTAGATTTCGATGGACTGTCAGAGAGAAACCATTTTTTCCCTGTTCGTGGGGAGGTGGGGTAGGGCAGAAATAAATTAAGATGAAAGGCTTATCATTATTTTCTCTTAAAATACTTAAAATTTTGTTTGAAAGGGGAAGAGAGAGAGGGAGAGATCTCTTGTTTGCTGGTTCACCCCCCAAATGCTGGCAATAGCCAGGGCTGTGCTACGCAGTCAGGAGCCTGGAGCTGCAGCCAATCTCCCTCCTGGGGCAGGAACGAGCACTGAGCCACTGCCTGTCTCCTAGGTGTGCAGTAATGGAAGCCACCTCAGAGGCAGATCTGGACCTAACCCAGGCACTCAGCTGTGGGATTCAGGCATCCAATCAGGGACTTAACTGCTGTACCAACTCCCACCTTATAATTCTGTTCTCAAAAAGTGTTAATGAAACCCAGTCATTTGTGGAGAAATGGCTGGGACTGGAGAACATTAAGTGAAATACGCCTTCCCAGGAATCCAGTGTAAGTTCTCCCTTCTACGCAGAAGTCGGAAAAGTTGGTCTCATAGTAGCAGAGTAGGATGGTGACCACTATCGCTGAAAAGGGTCTGGGGGAGAGATGAGGGAGGTTTGGTCCCCGGGTCCCAAGGTGGAGTCAGATAGAGGAACGGCTCTGTCTGCACAGCACAGGAGGCACCCATGGCTCACATAACCTGTTGAGTGTTTCTACAAAGAACTCGAGGAGAGGAGCTGGGGCCCAAACACAAGACATGACGAGATGGGAACGCCCTGGTGTGATCAGCACACCTTCAAATCCCACGCTGCACCTCCCAAATTATTATGTGTTCATTTAAAGGGAAAAATAGCTGGCAAATATGTTGTTGGTGTTTGTGTCTTCCTCCTTTGTCGAGCTGAAATTCACAGAGCACAGATTACAGACCTGACAGAAATTTAATTCATGCTGTAGCTACCTCTCACATTCACTGTGTCGTGTACCCACCAGCACCTGTCACAAACATCTTCATTAGCAGAGACAGAAACCCCAGACCCACTCAGCAGGCATCTGCATGCTCCCTCCCCACACCCGAGTCCACGTTCTGCCCTCTGAATCTGCACCCCCGGGCACCTCTCAGAGCAGAATCAGACCATGGTGTCTTTGTGACACCGGCTGATTTCTGTATTGTCATATCTTCAGGGTTTCTCCACGATTATCCAGACCCTCCTTCTTTTCTAACAGGAGAGTGTCAGCCGTGTCTACAAACACCGCCTGTTGTGGACGCACTCACCTGTTGTGCTTATTCTGGTTGCTGGCATCTTTGGGCTCATGTGAATGAGGCTGCTATGAACCCGTGGATGCAAACACCTGCTTGGGTTCCTGCTTCAATCCCTGTGGTTATATGTGCAGGAGAGGAACTGTTGGACTGTCAGGCACTTATGAGAAACAATGTTTTCCTTCTTTAGTGTGCCGAAATTCAAATAACATTAAACCAGCCCTTTAAAGTATATACTGTGCTGACTTACTACATTAACAATGTTGTACACCATTAACTCTTTAAAAATATATTTTATTTATTTGAAAGAGTTACGGAGCTAGATAGAGAAGAGAGAGAGAGAGAGAGAGAGAGAGAGAGAGAGAGGTCTTCCATCTGCTGGTTCACTCCCCAAGTGGCCACAAAGTGCAGAGCCAGGGCTATCTGGGGCCAGGAACCAGGATCTTCTCCCCATCCCCCCTGCGGGTGCAGGGACCAGGGACTTGGACCACCTTCTGCTGCTCTCCCAGGTGCATTAGCAGGGAGCGGGAGCGGATGTGGAGCAGCTGGGACTCCAACCCTGGCCCCTATGGGATGGCAGCACTGCAGGCTGGGATTGAACCTGCACTGCCACAGTGCCGGCCCCACATGAACTCTTCTAGCTCCATTGTCATCCCCCCAAATGCCCCACACTCACTAAGCTGCTCCCAGTCCCTCCTCGTCCCTAAGGCACTGCTTGGCCTCCATGGAGTTTGGAGTTCTGCTTCCCCGGGAATCCCTCCCCATGCCCGACTCTGCTCTGCACTCTCAGAGGGCGGGGCTGGCGCTTGGAGAACCCTCGCCACTCGCTCAGTACCACAGCTGAGACCACGCAAGCCCGGGCTGGAAGCTGGGGACATCTCAGTCCAGACTCTGAGCTTTCTACTCCGCAAGGGGGGCGCGCCCAGTCCTGGCACAGTCAGAACCACTAACACAGGGCCTGCACAAGTGTGATTCGCGCTTTGGGACAGGACAGAGGGTGGGGCGTGGGGACGGCACAGTTCCAGGAGCAGGATTCAGCCCGGGCTGCGGGAGGCCAGGAGGCAAGCAAGCAGCCTGGATTGAGTCATTCAAGCCGCCAGCCCTGAACAGGGACTCCGCGTCTTGAAGCCCTCTGTTCTCAGCTGGACCCCGACCCAGGGGAGGCGCCCACCTCACGCTGCCTCCCCTTATCCACGTGCTTCTCTGTTAGCCCCTTAGCACCGAGCCCGACTGAGCTCTGTGCAGAGACCGAGGGCAGTGTGCCACGTGCCCCAGGACGGTTGGGAGGCAGACACACCTGGTGCAGGTGGGCCGACGGAGCCGACTTTGTCCATCGAAGCAGGGGAGGACTCCTTGTACTTGGTGCCGTCACCCTGACTAGGAAGTAGCACTGCCTTCACGCGGCAGGAACCCGAGGTGCACAGCGGGACCCTGACGGAGGAGCCCCGGCACCCGGCAGGCAGCTGGGGGCGTCTCTTCCCAGCCCGCATCACAGACCTCACAGGGGCTCCTGGAGGGTGGCCGTATGACGGCTAGCGGCACCCCCACAGAAAGCATGCTTGTTTCAGAGCGGCCGCTAAGCAGTGCCCAGACACCCGCCCGTCAGTCTCCCGGGCACCGGTTCCCGTGTGACCCTTCTGAGCCCCCACACGCAAGGCGTCCCAAGCCCAGGGAAGGACTCGGGGCCTGAGAGGCCGTGAGCGTCCCGTGTGGGATGGACCTCGCCCACCCTGAAATCCGATTTCGCTCGTTTATTCTGTTACTTGGCGCAAGCTCCGTGTTCTTGGCTGGAAACGCGGATTCTCACGCATGCGCACTGGGAACTGCATGCACCAGAAACAGAGCAAAAGGCTCCATGAGAGTGGAGCAAGGCGGGAGATGGGTGCGGGTCTACATGCGGTCTGCAGGTGGCGCTGTCCCACCGGAGAGCCAGGCAGGACAGGACACAGCCACAGGGCAGAAGTCCACAGCTGAATGGAGGAAGAGCCCCTGACGCCCCCAGACAGCTACCAGCACCCACACTAGAGGGGACAGTTCCCCACTGTGCACCCGACTACCCCCTCCCCGCCCCCAGGGAGCGGCCTCTGACCCAGGCTGTCCTCTCTCCAGGTCACTGCTGGCCTGCAGCCCGGGTCCTCTTGTGGCTGTACCAAGCATCTGCCAGCAGAAGCCCAATGCCCAGCAGGACCAAGCCTGCTATACCCATGCGGATGAGGTTCTCCAGGGTGTGGTCCTCGGGCGCTGAGGCTGGGGGCGTACATGGAGGGGTCACCTAGGCTGGCTCACCGGAGTCCACCTCCCCGCAGCAGCCTGAGCTCTGGGTCCGGCCTGTAGCTCACTCACCAGTGGGGGAGTCTGGCTGCGGGTGCGAGGGGCTGCTGGGCTCCGGTCCTCCTGAGAACAGGGACGGGACGGTGAGGAGGAGGAGACCCCGCCCTCCCCATGCACTCAGCACTGAGGACCCGGGCCCACAGCTGGCGGGGGCCATCAGGGGCTCCTGAGTGTCAGAGACACAGAGGGGCAACGTCCAGGGCAGCCTCCCCTCCCCCACACCTCAGCCTGTGCACCTGCTGCTCCGCCCTCTTTATCTGTGGTCAACTAAGTCTTCATTATCTTGACACAGCCACCATGGGACACACACACACACACACACACACACACACACGTGTTTCCTAAGCGGTGGTGCTCCACTGTGTTCCACAATCAGTATTCCTGAGTGAGAAGACCTGGAACAACCAGGTCACAGTGTAGACCTCGGTGACTATCGGTAGTTACAAGCTCAGGGACACAACTCACAGTGAACATGGACACAGACAGCACACATCACAGTGGGCACTGTGCAGGGACGCAGCTACAGACGTGCGCATACTGAAACAGGCCAGGCTGCCCAGGGATCGGGAAGCCAGGAAGTGAGATTTCCCTTCCCTCTGGGCTGATGGGAACTTTGTCAGGAAATCAGAGCCCAACCAGGGTCGGGGGAAGGAGTCCCCACAGGAACAAACGCTCCACTGCTGCTCCTCCACTGAGCTGCTCTTCAGGAGAATAAAGGGGCCCAGACCTCCCTGAGGGTTGTCACAGGGGGCGGGGCTTGGGAGCCATTGCACCTGCAGGTCCCCACCCCTCCCCGGATGAGGGCGCAGTATGGGCAGGACTGGGCCTGGCTCTGCCAGTTCTGACCTGAGGCGCAGGGCAGGGAGGGCGCCCCCTGCGTCCAGGTGCCCTTGTGAGTGGGAAACAGCACCGTGCACTGAGCACTGCTGTGCCCCAGGCACACGCTGGGTCTCTGCATTCACCCCCTGAGCCGCCACCACCTCACAGCCCACACGGCCACCCCTCCCCTCTCCCCAGGGACCTGGACCCGGAGGAGTCCCCGCCAGGGGCCGGGTGACCCAGGGCTGCACACCTTTGTGTCTAGGGAGTCCCCTCGCCCTTGTGGGCTCCATGAGAGGCCTGTGCACCCAGCCCAGTTCCCATCTCAACTCTAGGGCCCCTGATCCATCCACTCCACTGCCCACCCAAACCCCATACCACAGAGGGTGACCTGGGCCCCGGAGCTGGAGACCTCTGCTGCTCCCTGCTCCCTGGTGACCTCCCCTGGAGGCTCCTCCCCAGCCCAGCCCTCTCCTGGGGACAGCCCTGCACTGACCAGGACCACCGTGGGGACAGGGCTGGGGCCCTCACCTGACACCTCGAGCTGCAGGGGGTCACTGGGCCATGACCACAGGTAGGGGTCAGTGCTGTGGGCGCTGTAGCACCTGTAGGTGCCCCCGTGGGCCGAGGTCACAGGCCCCAGCAGTGAAGGTGGCCTGAGCAGCTGTGGCCGAGCCCAGGACACGCAGGCGCTGGGGAGGGGCGCCTGAGTCCACCTTGTGCAGGAGAAAGGTGTCCATCGCCTCCTCAGAGCCACAGCGCAGGGCCACCATTGCTCCCCAGGGCACCGAGGGCCCCGGCTGGGCCTGCAGGGAGGGTTTCCTGTACATCCCTGGGAGAGAGGACGGAGTGTGGAGGGAGCAGTCCCCTCCCTCCCCTCAGGGCAGCAGTGGGTCTCCTGGGGTCCCTGTCCCTGCTGGCTCCACTCCCCTCCCAGAGACACAGCCCCACTGGACCTCTGGCCCAGAAATCTCTGCACTCCACAGCCCCAGGGCACAACCCGGGCCTAGCCTGGGGCAGACAGGACAGGACGGGCAGGGGCTTCCCACATGCAAGAGCATGTCCAGGGGGGACGCTGGAGTCCGACCGCAGCACCTGTACCCGTCCCCAAGGGAGCCGCTCACAGGGCCCAGGAGGAAGTCGGGGCTGGGGCCTGGTCAGGCGTATCTGTCACAGCTGGGCTCACAGCAGTGAGTCAGGCTCTGTCCCCAGAGCAGCAGGGCTGAGAGGGAGGGCTCCCTGTGCAGTCCCTGAGAGGGGGATGGAGCCAGGCTCAGCCACACATCCCACAGCCAGCAGGGTCTGAGCTGATCACCACCCACACGGGGTCAGAGTTCCCGAATCGCCCACCCCCACCCAGGCTCCCTGGGCACTGGGCCCCTCACCTGTGACCTGAAGCTCCAGGGGCTCACTGGGCAGGGACCACACATAGGGCTGGCTGCTGTAAGCGCGGTAGCACCTGTAGATGCCCCCGTAGGTGCTGTCCACGGAGCCCAGGAGGAAGGTGGCCTGCCACACCCCAGCCCCACGGGAGAACCTGGCTTCCGGGCTGTGCAGGGGGCCGGCTCCGCCCTCCTTCAGCAGATGGGCAGTGCCCGCCTCATCTGAGCCACACGAGAGGGACACGTTCCCTCCTGACGCCACCACGAGGCTTGGCTGGGCCGACAGGGAGGGCCCTGGGAACATCCCTGCAGGGGAGGGCAGAGCCGTGTTGGGGGGCTGCTGCCTCGTGCACACCACTTAGCTTCCTTCTGTGACCTGGAGCCACTCTAGGCAGGGGACACCCCTTACCTGTCACCACCAGGGTCAGGGGGTCACTGGGCTGGGAGGGGCCGAGCGGGGTCTGATACACACACCGGTACTGCCCTGTGTGGTAGGAGCTCATGGACATGGTGATGGGGAAGTCAGCCTTGTGTCTGGAGTCCTGCTGAGCCCGCACTTCCCAGGGCTGAGGGCTGCCCTCTTTATACACACGATACACCTCAGCCTGCAGAGACCCCTGGCACCAGAGGGTCACAGGGCTCCCCACGGCGACCAGGGGGCCTGGGTCGGCCCAGATGGAGGGCTTGGGGAGGGCCCCTGGAAGGGAATCAGAGCTGCAGACCCCGGGTGCCGCCCCTCCCCCGCCCCCTTCCCCAGCTCCACTCCCAGCCCCTCCCAGCCATCACCATCAGCCCAGCCCACTGGGCTCCTCAACCCTGAGCTGCCTGGGCCCCGGGGCTGAGCCAGGTCAGGGGAGGACTCACCCGCCTGTGCCCCATCCCCTGGCACCCGGCACAGCCCTGGAAGAGAGGTCCCCGTGAGAGCTGCTCCCCACTCCCCACCCCTGCAGAGACTGCCCAGGTCTGCCCTGGTCCTCTGAGCCCTGGGGTCCCAGCTGGCGCAGGGCGCTGTCCCCTCCCGCACCTGTAGGGGATCCCATTGTCCCCGTGTCCCCAGCTCACCCAGGCAGAGGAGGGCAGTGAGGGCTGGGGTCTGGGCCCCGCCGCCCATGGTCCCTGTGGAGCAGAGCAGCTGTGAGGGGCAGCAGGCCCAGAGCCCGGCTGGAGATGAGCGGGGAGACGTCACGGGTTCCTCATCTGCGGCCTCACAGGAAGGGAGCAGCCCCTCCCCCTGCTGTCCCTGAGGACGGGCCCAGGACAGAAAAGGCTTTGGGGACCATGGGACCAGGCCTCCGCCACCGCTGCCCCCTGCGCTGTGCCTGCCTGGTCTCCGCCCCCCCTGCCCACTCCAGCCCCACCAGGGGGTGCCCCTCATGGGCGGGGCCTAGGAGCTGCCCGGTTAGGGTTCTGGTTCTCCCTGCACAGGCCGGGTGGCCGAGACAGGCACTTCCCCTTCCTGAGCTGTTGAGTGCAGTTGTGGGGGCTGGGGTGGGGGAGGGGAGGGGAGGGGGAGGGCTGGATCCCGTGGGGAGGGTGACGGAATCTTCCAGGCCTTTGGCGCTGACAGGGGGGATGAAGAAGGCACAGACGCTGCAGAGGTGTGGCTGAGCTGCAGCCCAGCTGTGGCTGTGGCAGGTGCAGGAGGGCCCACAAAGAGGACCCGGCCTTGGGGCGGGGTCCTGCTGAGGGCTGGCGGGCCTAGGGCCTGGCGAGCAGCTGTGAGGAGGGGAGGGTGTCTGAGGGCAGAGGCCCCGAGCTACCCTAGGAACTGAGAATATGGTGGTGCCCTGACCAGCCCAGCCGGGGTCCAGTGCCGCACACCCTGTGCTGCCTGCACTGTACCGGGTTTCTCATTAGGTAGAGGGGACTGGGAGCAGGGCACTGGGCCCGTGTGCAGATACACACTCACGTGTGGCTGGGGGTCCCCGGCACCTGCTTCCTGAGCCCCCCACGGCCTCTCCTCCCCTGATCTGAGCACCTGGGCTCCATGCTCCTGGATGACGTGGGGGTGACGCTTCCTGAGCGACCTGAACAGGTGACATCGCCCCCCAGCGTCTCTGTGGTGGGGGGATGCCCGAGACCTCCCCTCTGGGTGGCCGTGGCTGCAGCACTCCGGTCTCAGGGTCCTGCAGTGTCCCTTCCAGATTCAGACGTGGGGACAGCACCGTTCTGGTAGGGGCCGCTCCTCAGAAGTCCCTAGGAGCGCCCGCTGACCCCAGAGGTGAATCAGAAGCGGTCCCGGGTCCCAGACAGAATGGAAGACCCCATCCTCAGCCGTGTTTGGGGTGGAGGTCAGAGGGCAGGCTCTCAGCTGCCTGCTCTGGGGTGGGGACCCAGGAGAGAACTATGGCGGCTCGTCACAGCCTCGTGTTACAAGGCACACACAGGCATCTGTCCTTTCCTTAGCCTGCATCAGGTTGAGAGGAAGTCCCCCTCCCAGAAACAGGAGCTGGCAAAGCGTGCACTCAGTGGCGTTCACGGTAAAGCCCAGACATTCAATGACCGCTCTGGCCTCACCCCAGGAGGAAGCTCCACACCATGCAGCCATCAGCCCCCCAGCCCCGCCCAGCCCCAGGGCTCTGTGGGCTCCCAGCCCTGGGTGTTTCTGGGAACAGTGCTATGTGGGGCCCTTTGTGTGTGGCTGCACCCCTTGACGCCCACATCCTCACTCTATGGCTTCCTGGGGCTCAGCAGAGTTCCCACGGAGCCAGGGACCCACCACCCCGAGCCCCGCATCCCCGGTGCACATCTGGCTCCTGTCCCTGTCCGGCCGTGCTTGGATGGATGCCTGTGTGCACAGTCCCTGGATGGTTGTCAGAGCCTCCCCCTGGCCCTCGGTGGTGAGAACACTCCACAGAGCCTGCACTCAGCACACTGGTGAGCACTGCGCCTGACCCTGACCCTTGCCAGGATGTGGGTCAACGGGAGCGCCTGACTCCGTGCAGGGGGTGGGTTGCTCTGTGCTGTGCCTGAGGCTGGGTCTGGTGCTTTGAGGAACTACGAGCCTCTTGCCGCAGTGGCCGAACCCTGCACATTCCAGCCGCGTCTCAGGGCTGAGATTGCCCCACACCCTGACCACACTCTGCCTGCTTTGTCTTCGAGAAGTGACCAGTGTGGTGGGCGTGGGGGTGCCTCTCTGTGGCATTATTTTCACTTCCCTTCTCTTGCCTGAGTTGCACCCTTGCTTTTCCTGTTGTGGCTTCCAGATCTTTACACAATGTGTTCGTTGTCTTTCTGTTCCCTTGATAGCTGTCCATGGTGCACAGACTTCTGAAGTTTTGGGGATGATCAAATCAGCCATTTTCCCATTTGTTCCTTGTACTTTCGGAATCACAGCTTAGACGCTGTGATGAAGTCTGAGGTCATATTTAGCCAGGTATTTCCTTCTAGGAGTGCTTAAAATTTTTTTTAAAGACTGATTTATTTATTTCAGAGGGAGAGATGGAGAGAGAGGAGAATCAGAGGCAGAGGTTTCCCATCCAATGGCTCGCTCCCCATATGGCTGGGCGAGGCTGAAGCCAGGAGCCAGGCAGGAGCTTCTGGGTCTCCCACGTGGGTGCAGGGACCCAAGCACTTGGGTCGTTCTCTACAGCTTTCCCAGGCGCATTAGCAGGCAGCTGGATCAGAAGTGGAGCAGCCGGGACTCCAACTTGGCCATACCATATGTGATGCCGGCACTGCTGGTGTTGGCTTTACTCCCTAAGCTACGCTGTGGTTGGGTGGAATCCTCAGCCCATAACTGGAAACACGGGAGAAGTATCCAGACGCACCCTCCACCCCGCCTCACTGAACTCTGTGGGAAACGCAGACTTGCACCGCACAGACAAGCAGAGTAATCAGCCATCAGAGGAAGCCGGGCAGGCATCCGCACTCTTCCAGAACACCGGGTGCTGCCGTCCGCCAGAGCCAACCGTGTTGTAGGTTTACGTTAGGCGAGCACTGAGAAATCCAGGTGACCTTGAACGTTCCGTGCCGGAAGAAACCCTGCACACACTTTCAGTCTTTCTCTTCTGAGTCGTCCTCTTGGAGGGCGCAGTCCCATGGTCATCTGGGATTTTACCTTAGAGTTTGATGAGTCACAAGTTTTTTAAAATATTTATTTGAAAGTCAGAGTTACATAGAGAAGGAGCGAGAGAGGTATCCATCTGCTGGTTCAGTCCCAATGGGCCCTCACAGCCGGAGCTCGGCTGATCCCCAGCCAGGAGCCCCGAGTTTCATCTGAGTGTCCCACATGGATGCAGGGGCTCAAGGACTTGGGCCATCTTCTGCTGCTTTCCCAGGCCATAGCAGAGAGCTGGATCAGAAGTGGAGCAGCTGAGTGTCGAACCGGTGCCCACAGGGGATGCCGGCACCGCAGGTGGCAGCTTTTACCCACTACACTACAGAGCCAGCCCAGATCCATTAATTGAGACCTCTCATATCTGACCCCACGTGTCATTGCCTCCTTTTGGTGAGTGGAATGGTAAATCCATCTTGAGTGACAGGTGTCCCTCCCACGTCCTGCCCACTTGCTGAAGGTCAAGGGGAGTGAATCCCGGCGTTACCCTATCGATGGGCCGTTCGACCCCGCTCCTGTGGACACTCAGGGCCACTGAGCTGTGTGCGGTCCCTGGAGAGGAACAGCACAGAACCGCACGGGAGCCTGCAGGGCGGTGGGCAGGGCTGCGGGAGGCCGGGGCCCCTTCCCAGAATGCGCGTGGGAGCCCGGGGAAGCAGCACCGCCAGCGGCCCACCCGGGTCCCTGCCCCTGAGCAGGATTCCTGCAACCCCAGGTGAGCTCCGCCCACTTCCCACAGCTTCTCACCACTCATGTCCTGGCCTCCCGCCTCCCCCGCCCCCGGGGCACAGCCTCTCTGACCCAGCTCTGTCCTCTCTCCAGGTCATCGCTGGCCTGCAGCCCGGGTCCTTCTCTGGCTGTACCAAGCCTCCGCCAGCAGAAGCCCGAGGCCCAGCAGGACCAAGCCCGCCACGCCCATGCTGATGAGGTTCTCCAGGGTGAGGTCCTGGGTGCTGGGGCTGGGGCTGTGCACGGAGGGGTCACCGAGGCCGGGACAGCCCCAGTCACCCGAGTCCCACCTCCCTGCAGCTGCCTGAGCCCTGAGTCCAGCCTGTAGCTCACTCACCAGCGGGGGAGCCTGGCTGGGGGTGCGAGGGGCTGCTGGGCTCCGGTCCCCCTGAGAACAGGGACGGGATAGTGAGGAGAAGGAGACCCCGGCCTGGTCCATACTCAGTGCTTCCCGGCCCCCATGTCTCGCGACGCAGCTCAGCATGGCTCTTGGGTGAGCTGCCTCCGGGTCTCTGTCGGGCTGCCCTGTGCTCCGGGGCCGCAACGGAGCTCTGCAGGGGCCGGGCCACGCAGCACCCACAGCCTGGCGAGCTTCTCCCTATAGGAGCAGGTCCGGGGACCACCCTGGGCCACGGCGAGGGCCCACTGCCCTGAGCAGTCTCTGTCCTGGTCTAGAGGCCTACAGAGCCCCCGGGGTGTGAGGCCCGTCCTGGGCGGGGCCTGTCCAGTGCTGCATCTACTCCGGCCCCTGTGGGAGCCTGGCCCGGGCTGCCGGCCAGGGCGCTGGGCAGACCCCGAGTCCCTGTGTGACCCCGTCAGGCCCTCTGCAGGGACCACCGAGGGCCTGCTGGGTCAGGAGGGAAGAGGGGCGGGGCTGCACCCTGGCTCCGCCCACACCCTTCTCCTTCCTGCCCTGCAGTCCCACCGCCCTCACTCTGGGTGTCTGGCCCAGGAGCCCAGGCCCCGCACCCAATTCCCATCTACGCCTCCTCTCAGCGTCCCCGTGACCTACCCAGCTCCTGCTCAGGTGTGGCTTCCTCACTGTCACCCCAGCTCCAGGGCGGCACTGGGCTCTGAGCAGCCAGCAGCGCTGAGGCAGACACAGCGGTAGCACCCCGCGTACACTTCAGCCATGAGAGGGTGGGGAACTTGGCCTTGTTTCCGGGCTCCAGGGGCATCTGTCTGTCCCAGGGCTCTGGGATTCCCTCTCTATACAGACGGCACTCCTGGGCCTCCAGGGTCCCCAACACCACAGGGCCCCAGGCCTGCCCAGGGCGATCACAGAGCCTGGTTCAGCCCGGAGGCTGGGTCTGGGGAGGGTCCCTGGAAGGAAACCAGAGGCTGGGTCCCAGGACCACGTCCCCTCGCAGGCCAGGACCCTCCCAGACGCCCTCCTCAGCAGACAGGGCTGCTGTCCCCACCCCAGCTGCCCGGGGTGGCCCTTGTCCCATGGCTGCGGGGGGGGGGACCCGGCACAGTGGGGGGCACGCTCACCTGCCTGCACTCGGGTCCTGGGGCCCGCACAGCCCTGGAGGAGAGCTCCCCGTGAGAGGGTTGCCCCTGCCCCTGCGCAGGTCCTCTCCTCCCCGGGGCTCCTGAGCCTGGGGTCTCCAGGGAGCAGGGCCTGGCTGTGGGCTGGGGCGGGGTCCCTCCCAGAGCAGGGTCTCCCCTCCCCGTCTTCCAGTC